TGAGCTATCAGCCCGATGGTATATTCGAACCCAACCAGTCACAACCATTCCTGCACACCCACATGGCCACTCACCAAAGCCATGCCGAATTTGTATACCATTTCGACAGTAACATGTCTTCTTCAGCCGTATATATGTTAATCATCATGATATGGCATTTATAATTTTTATATATGTTAATCACCGTAGGTAAGTATTTTTTAGTGAACAGTGTTTGAAGTGCTATTTGAAGTCTTTGAAAAACTCACGAGTGCATGTTTATCCAAATTTCACGAGAAACCATGCTATTGCTTATTAATAATTTATATAAAAATGTTCGAGACAATTGTAGTTTTAACTTACGCGTTTATAGCGAACATTCCACTGCCAAAGTTTTCCTGGCTTTGTTATATCACATTATACAACCCTAACAGCTTGAAAACTCCACTCAACTATGTAATTTTTGTTAGTCTTGTTTAAAAGGTAAATGCTTTTCCATTTAAAAATAATTAAAGATAAAAGTAATATTTACACGCGAAGGCAACTTTTATTTTGCGTATAGTGCGGCGCCATCTTGTTTTGTTTTGAAGCAATCTGCGACCGTTACTTCTTTAAACTAAATTGCTTTAGACTGATTGATTGATTTAATCAACACAATGTTTTTCCACCAATCAGATCATTTTGTTACAGATTTTTTGCACTGTGATTATACAAAATATTGCACTGTGATTACAAAAAATTGCACTGTGATTACAGAAAATTGCACTGTGGTTACAGAAAATTGCACTGCTGTTTGAGATTAGCTGCACTGAAATCAACCAATCACAGTCGAGTAATATCTTTATGTATATTAGTAGTAAATAAATCATGTTAGTAAAAACAATTTGAACTGTTTTGTGAAGGGGTATGTTAGTAAATACTCAGTGGTTCCCGCAATTATTGGATGAAAGTCTATTATAAACATGCACTATCCAAAACTTTCAAATGTGACGATCCGCGCACCTGGAAATCAGTGTGTGTAAAGTGCAAAAGAGCCAGATCGCATAACATTGTAATAAGTTGTTGTTAGCCCTATATTATTGAACATGGAGAGTATAGGTTTCCTTTATCAGTAGTTTTAGCTTGTTAGGTTACATTGAAAATATGTTTTGTATAGTAATTTAATTCTTGTTTATATGGGATCGCCGTAATTGGGAAAACTGTGGCGAATTCCCCGGCTCTATACGTTGCATTGAAATAGTAGCTGAATCTTATTAAATCATTAAATCATTAAATCATTAAATCAAGTAGGAGTATTAAATAAGTTGAAGAGTTTATCGGCAAAAAGCAGTTAATTTCAACGAACATGTAAAAACGTTTTACGAAGCGTTTCGTGTTGAATTTTACATTATAATAAAGACTATACAAAGCAAAATAATATACTAGCTACTTTATATATGTTAGGAATCGATAGTTCTGCGGTTGAAAGTGTAAAAGATTAATTTATTTTGGCCGTTTTGAAGAAAAAACTAAGAAAACAATTATCTTGTTGCCATGGCTAACATGACGCGGGCAACGCGAGCCTGCATGCGTTTCGTTTTGGCGTTACTAGTACTTCATGATGAAACAATTTTGGGAAATGTGGGCGAGGGGTTGGCATACATGTATTTCTAGTTAGTAGTGTACTTTAGTCATCATCATGAACGATGCTCGGTTACTTTACGATCAAGGTATTAGGGTAATTTGATATACACATACATATAGAATAGATTAATAGGAAGAGGCGGTCAAGTCCGTTTACCGGATCGTATGTGCAGTTTATTTACATTTTGAAGACATGATATACTCTTAAAATCTAACGTATTTATGGTTAGTATCTGGCGTCGTTCTGGTTTGTTAGGCTTTGATGAACATATAGATTAGAGTTTCAACATAAAAGACGTCGAAACAACACGAAACCAGAGAACACCAGAGGTCCTCACACAATTGACCAATTGACCTCATCTTTAAGCCCTATCTTAATTCCTTGATTAATTTCAGGTTTAAAACGTCGAATGCACGTAAGCGATTCTTTGAAAAGCAACGTGATCTCAAGAGTTTTTAAAAAACTATCTCCTTTATAAATAACATAAACTTAATTTAAATTGGAAGGTGTAATTCTGGATCTTTTGGGATCATATAGATGTGACAAATTTATTACTATAATTTTCCTTATATATTGTAAATATTTTTATACATATAGCCTATTGGAAGCTGTCACTGCTCGCTTCCCGCGCACAATACCCTTAACTGCATGAAAGAATATTAAGATTGGGGTTAACTAATTTTCAGCCCCGGCGGACGCCGGCTCTTTAAACAGCACCATGGACAGAGAATATTACAAAGACTTGATGACAATCCGATTTCAAAAGCGAGAATCTTCCCTCGCTCTCTCTCTCCAAAACTCAAAAATCCCAATAATAAATGCAATAAGAGGCTTCTCTTAAAGCAATACCTTGAAACACACTATATGCAAAAGAAATATCTTTATTTCACCAAAAGCGTCCTAATGCACGCGAAGACTGAAGAAGAATTTTTACCCAAAGCGAGTTATTTTGCCTCACCAAAGCATAATATCTTGCACCGCACGCAAAGCGAGATTTTGTTTCTGGTGACCAAACAAAAGGACATTTTCCCAGAAAAATCCAAAATTCTTAGCAAGACAATTTTTCTTGATTCAATAAATCAGAATGTGCTTGAAATAATTGATATATAGTGAACTAGTGTGTGATAAAGTATTTTATTCCATTGTTGATGATAGTGAAAACTAACTTTTTAAATTACTTCCTGCTTCAAATAACGTTTTACGTATGACTTACGAGAAAACAGACATTTTATAATTCCAGAATGGAAAACTAATCGTTGCAGGGACACTTTTATAATGTCAAATTGCATTAAAAATATATAACTATAGTTAATTAATTATTCTTAATTTATGGTTTGTAAATATAATTAGTCTTAACTATATTTTAATAATAGCTTTTTAAATTTGATATCAAGAAAAATATTTGTAAATTAGTTTTGCAAATTTGTAAATATGCAATTCAGCCCTCGGGCTGCCACATATTTGTAATAAACTATCTATCTATATCTATCTATCTATCTATCTATCTATCTATCTATCTATCTATCTATCTATCTATCTATCTATCTATCTATCTATCTATCTATCTATCTATCTATCTATCTATCTATCTATCTATCTATCTATCTATCTATCTATCTATCTATCTATCTATCTATCTATCTATCTATCTATCTATCTATCTATCTATCTATCTATCTATAGTTTTTTCCACGCTTTCTGTCATATCTATACAACTTCTGGTGGTTTCGTAAGCAATAGTGGAACGAAATGATTATAGGGAGCCATGTGACGCCGGTTCTGGGTCGTGAAACATTGGACCACATGAGGACGATAGGTGGTCTAGGTGAGCAATCTTTGTTTGGGTTGAATGTTCTATGCAGAATGGAAACAGTCTTATCTAGCAGTCCGTTGACTGGTGGATATATAGACAAAATCTTCGTTCCGAGTACCGATGCTGCCGCATGAATCGTCCACGCCGATGAAAACTTTCCACCAATAGCACATTCTCTGACTGCTGTCCGGTAGTCCGGAGACACAAACTTTACGCCCGTGTTCTTGTGCTTTTTTTATATAGATCTTTGTTGACAACCATTTCAATGCAAGTACGCACCCGAAGCTCGGTTGATAGTGAGGTATCTCCAGCAATAGCGGTTGACAACGCATGAAAAAGGCAATTCCCATCTGCAGGAACAACAGCTGGTAAGTGAGTTAAGGGTCCGCCTAAATAAGGAAGTGCATTATGCTTTAGTCATTTGAAACCACGGGCCCCCCACCCCCGGACATAGCGGGGAATTTAACGCTGCCAAGTGTTAAAAAACATTAATTCCCCCGTTCCTGGGGCAAACTGTTCTGTTAAAATTACCCCCGTACAGCCGGGCTTCAATATACCTAAACTGTAAATACAAGACAAATTCCGCATCATGCATCATGAAATCAAGGCCGAATTTTCTTGTTTTGCCTGCTGGGAGGGGGAGGGGGCTTTCGGAAAATTTTACTTGTCTTAAGAGGGGGCAACGAAAAAATATTATAACTGTAGAGTTTCTCCTCAGTCTCCCCCTGTACAATAAATAATGAGCAGTCCCTAATGCCCATGGCCTAGTATCTTAGGGAACGGGAATAAACGCGGGAAAACAAGTGAAAACTGCCGCTTCACGCAATTGACATTTCAGATGTTATGACTTACTACTTATTGTGTTAACGGCTTGTTTCTTGTTGCTTATTTCGATTTATAACGATTTTTGTGTGTATTTTAAGATTTATGCCCACAACGAAAGTTGTAAACGAGTGTATGTCATAAAAACGACCGGTAGTTTCTCCCGTTTTTTGTGTGGAAATGCATGTGATAATGTTACGTAGCGACGGTGTTTATCCAGAAGCGAAAAACAGTATTAAACTCTTTCGCCATTTTAATGTCAATATATAGGTTATTCCGTGAAAAATCGAGATAACAATGGAATGAAAGTATAATTTCCACCATCTTTTGCGTTAAATATCATGTTGTATTTAACTTTCAAGCTCAGTTTTATAGACAATATTTTCGAAAAAAGCCGTAATATTTTCGAAAAAAAGTTGATTTTCCCGCGTTTTCCCGTTTCCTAGGATACGAGGCCTCGATCACGATTTATGAATAAGGTCTATGGACTATGATGACAATGAAATGTTAGGTGAAATGCGACTTACCAACTCGCCTCAAAATTTCTTGGGCAATGATATCAAGAGTGGAAGTTCCAAACAGGATTTCCTCAGCTTTTGCTTATGCAAGGAACAAGAGGGGAATTTCGTTCTTGACCAATCAGCGCTTTTGTTTACATTTTTGCCCTAAGCCAATCAGAATGCGTAAAACGCTTCATCACATGAAATTTGTAAACAAAAATATGGGGTTACTTCAGAGCTTTTCTGCAAGCGGTTTTATTTTTTTGCAATGAAATTCATATATGTTGTTCTTAAAAGAATTTTCCTCAACTTCCTCTTGGCGATTTTTGATTAATTACGTGATTGCGAAGATATGGGTCTTCAAACTTTGCCTTGCGCAAGCTTAAATACCACCCCTCGAATTTGTAGGTTCCGAACGGATTAGCGTTTTTAAAAGCCTTTCAAATCGAGGTTTGAGGGGTTTTATTGTTTAAAAGATACTTTTATCTTCATATTTTCACATTAACTTATTAATATCCTGCGTAACAAGTCAACAGGACATTTCCGGGCCGGGACAAGTTGACATGTCGATTTCTTGCCAAACAGCGTGGCGATCATGCAATATGGCGAATATCTAAATACAGGGAATTTTTAAAATTTTGTTGGTATAAATGGGGTAAAGAAACTCATCAAATATTTGGACTATGGACCTTCAAACTTATGCCAAGTATTTATTTGATTGATTAGCTCAATAACTGTTTCTTGGCTCGTTTTTCATCGATTTCCACATTTTGTTGACTTCAGGATAGTGTGTCAACATTGCGTGTTGCAGCCTGTGGACATGAATATTTTCGTTTGTTTGACAATAACACTTGTCTTCATTGGTTTTAATCCTTGATTGACAATATATTAATTGGTCTCAGAGTCCTAAACTTAAGGAAGATGGATGACATTGGGACAGAATGATTTTGTTCAATGTTGCTGTTCAGGTATTAAAATTTATGGACATATATGAACTTCATTGTTTTTACTTCATCTGTCTCACTAGTCACAATTGGGCCCTGTTCATATAACCTGGCTAGGTGGCCTAAGATGGGAGACGACATTGGCCAGTATGTCCTATCCTATCCTGCTACCATCGGCTTGGCTAAGCGTGAGGTTTCCATTGCCAGAATCCTGGCTATATGTAAGCCAAGAAATTCACCATATACAATAAGCACTGTATCCAAAACAGGCAACATGATAGGCTTCAAGCATGTGTTCTGGATAGCCTAGATCATATAAACAGGTCCCCAATAGATCCAGAGACTATAATCGAAACATTTTAGTCCATAAATTTGTACATTACCAGAATACCTGTTCACAAATTAATATTTTACACATATTATATAATAACGCAATCCAATATTAAGCTCCCAGTAACCTCACAAATAGGCCTCCCTTCCAAAAATCAGATCTCCCTTCCAAAAATAGGCTCTCCCTGTTAAGGGCTGTCAAAATGGGCCATGCTAGCCCAGCAAACATGGCTGGATTTTCTTTTCAGGGCTAGTTTGTCATTTGCCTCACAGGAGCCAGGCAAACCTGGCAACTGTTGTCAAGAAATTTGTGTGAAATGCTCGTTAATTTGTTAATGACAACAGCTTCAGAAGGCTTATATTAATCAATTTCTTACTTACTTCAGTTACTTGGGCCAAATTGTGTATTATAACATGATTTTTAGTCGAGTGAGCTCATAGGCGTACGGGAAGGAAAAAATTAGGGGGGCAGAAAGAAATTTGCCCGACTTTTTCGAATTGTGCCCGACCAGTGCCCCAAAAAAATTTTTTCCGGAACAATAAATTTTGGCGAAGTTCATGTTGCCTGGTTGTGTAGTTGGGATTCTGGCAACGGTTATCTTGTGCTTAGCCAGATAGTAGCAGGATAGTATGTCGGCAACTGTTGTCTCCTGCCTAGCCAGGTCATAAGAACAGGCCCCATTTGTGACTAGTGGGCCAGATTAAGGAAGAAACAATGAGGGTCCTATGACTATGCTAAGAGTGACTTAGTCACTGTGACTATATATGTCCATAAATTTTGATATATGAACAAAAACAGTTATTGAGCTAATCAATCAAATAAATACTTGGCATAAGTTTGAAGGTCCATAGTCCAAATATTTGATGAGTTTCTTTAGCCCATTTATACCAACAAATTTTAAAAATTCCCTGTATTTAGATATTCGCCATATTGACCGCCACGCTGTTTAGCAAGAAATCGACATGTCAACTTGTCCCGGCCCGGAAGTGTCCTGTTTACTTGTTACACAGGATATTAATAAGTTAATGTGAAAATATGAAGATAAAAGTATCTTTTAAAAAATAAAACCTCTCAAACCTCGATTTGAAAGGCTTTTAAAAACGCTAATCCGTTCGGAACCTACAGATTCGAGGAGTGGTATTTAAGCTTGCGCAAGGCAAAGTTTGAAGACCCATATCTTCGCAATCTTCGCAATCACGCACGAAGAAGTTGAGGAGAATTCTTTTAAGAACAACATATATGAATTTCATGGCAAAAACCCCAAAAACAGCTTGCAGAAAAGCTCTGAAGTAACCCCATATTTTTGTTTACAAATTTCATGTGATGAAGCGTTTTACGCATTCTGATTGGCTTAGGGCAAAAATGTAAACAAAAGCGCTGATTGGTCGAGAACGAAATTCCCCCTTGTTTATGCAAGGGGTGTTTTGCGCAAAAAGATTTGCTCCATTTTTACTGTCGTTTCCAACATTCCCAGCTTTGATGCATTCTCTAAGCGTCGTAGAGCTGCGGCGAAGTCGTAACCGCCACCCACATCATCGGCACAAGAAGAACACAGGTAATCGTCCGTTAGCCGATTCAAGGTGGTTAGATCCTTCGCAGAAAGACGTTCGCATTTCGCATGGTGCCACACACCGCAACCTTCACAAAACACAGAATCATCGTTGCACTGCAGACCGTATGTGCCACATGGTCATTTGCGCCTGTTAACATGAGCAGATTTTCTACTAGCCATATTTTTTACTTTAGTCAAGAACGAAATTAACGAAGATGTTGAACGAGGTTTAACGGATGGTGCTGCAAAGCCAAGCGTGTCAATTGTGAGGTTGTTTGTGGGATTGTTTTGTGATGCGTTCGAGATCCGTGGGCATTACGTCATTAAGGCTTTAGGCACTTTCTGTCATGCAAATTAATACAATATTAACAGAACAAAAG